TACTTTCCATTACTTCAATGAACTCTTAAGCAGTCTCCCTACAACTCTTCTCTGCCAAAACATTCTCCACAGCACAGTCAGAGGACTCTTTCTAACTACAAATTTGATCATGCTGCTCCAAAAAAAAAAAAAAAAAAAAAAAAAAAAAAAGCCCTTGTTCTTAGGATAAAGCCAAACACTTAATAAGCCCTTTCTGGACCCCTGTCACTTCTACAGCCTCTCCCTTGGACTTCATGCTGCAGCCATAACGAACCTTTTTACCCTCTGGCTAGAGAGAAGGGTCTTCTTTCAAATGAGCACCCTATCTCAATCTCCCCACCCTTGCTAAACCTGACCAACTGTTATTTATCCTGTTAGGTATCGGATGATCTCAAAGGCCACCTTCCCAGACACCTCAAAGTTGCTTAAGAGTTTCCTCAATATACATACACCACATGCATACATAACTCATACTAATTCTCTCAAGTCCCACATCACACTGTCTTGGATTATCTGATACACCTGTCTGGACAAACTACTAGTGTAAGCCCAGTAGACACATTGCTTGTCTGTACATCCCCAGCAGAGTGGATGGCAAATGGCAGGCATTCAAATAAATATTGACTGAAAAGCTGAATGATTGCACACAATCTAAAACATATTCTGTGTATTTTCCTTCAGTTTCTTTTTGGAGGGATCTTTACAAAGGATGAGCTGCCTGTAGGACTACTAATTAAAATCACACCAGGGAGTACAGACTTATCTACAAGAGATAATTATAGGGCAATACACCAAATTTATTAATGAAATGTTAAGTGGAACCTGATCAAAAGACAAAAACTCCAGTTGAAAGATGGAATGCCGCGGGTGGTTAAGAAATTAGTCCCATATGATTAAGACTCTGCCAGTTACAAAGACAACAAGGTAAAACACCAAAGTTATAGTATTAAATGAGAAAGCCAGAAAAAGGGAAAATAAATTAAGTCAATATACTAAAAGTGGGTACAGATAAGTAGCATAAGTACAGGGACTAGATTAGTCTGTGAAAGGCTGTGCAACTAGCTAAATAAATATTTCAAAGTGCTTGAAATACATTATGCTAAAGAGACAGGTCGACAATTTTTTCCCCTTTGAGAGTCAGAAAAACTAGCTGTATTTTCTTTACTGTGATGTCAACAGTTGGCTGAAGCTAGTTCCATTTACCACAGAAAGAACAGAGACTATCACTAAAATAAGTACAGACTCTAAGGAAAAAGTGGATTTACTCCAATTATCAGGGCTGTGATATTTTAAAACATCACTATAGAACCGCAACTGTTATTTTGGGAGGTCAGATTACATTGCTGAGGATCATAAGTGAACAAATAACTTAAATGCAGATACTAAGAATATTCCATCAAATCTGAATGTGGATAATTCTAAGTTTAGGAGTGGTTGTAGAAAAATTAGAAAAAAAAATGTCCTACCCCCAAAAAAGATATGAAATTCAATTCGAGCAAATGCATTACAGAAACTCAGTAACACAATCATTCAAGTATCAAAGGAGATTAGGCACAGGGATGAACAGGTCCTGATTTTACAGACAGCTATGGCTTAGATTTGGAAGAAAGGTCCCCAGACTCAGTCAAGAGAATGTGGTTTTTAGTCAGGACAAATCACTTAATTTCCTTTGGCTTCGTGTTCTTCCTATGGAAATTGAGATTAATATCATCTTAATCACTGGTCTACAGGGAAGACCTTTATATACTTGTGTGTTGTTATAATGAGCATATAGAAGATTAAATGAGATGATTATTGAGAAGAGTTTTTTTACATTGCAAACTATAAAAAATACAAGGTCTCAGTGGTAATTTTGTGAACCACCAGCAGTTGAATAGTACCACCCAGCAGAGGTCCTGATACTAAGACATATCCAAAGATTGTCTGTAGAACAAATGAGATACTCCAGGCATGACAATCAGTGGGTCCGGGACACAGCATAAAATAAGACATGCAATGGTCAGAAAGTACTCCTTCCTCTGCACCAATGTTCATCACACCCATTTAAAAAAATCAAGATGTGGAAACCTAAATATTTCACTAAGCAATTCAAAATCACACAAAGAAAACCAGTTCCCCCAAAATGTTTAATAATGTGGGTTAGTTCAACAGTGTAGACCAAACATGTGAAACTCTCGGCCGTCAGGCTGCATGCCTCATTTAAATAAACATAAACGAGGCATGCGGCCCGCCAGCAGAGTTTGACATGCTTGGTGTAGACTTAGTGTGTTAAATTTTTATCCACTCCCCTCAGATGAAGGGGTAGCAGAAATGTTTTCCATTAAAATGCAAATTCTCCAGAAGGGTCATAATTAAGCCCTTATGAGCCATCTCTTGAGCTATCTATTCCCAGCTCACCAGAATTAGTAGACTTCTTACTCCATAGGAGAACAGGAGGTTTTAGTTATAACACTTTAGCAGGGTATTAACAGAAACATTTTGCTGGCTAGGAGGCTGGGAAGCCAGAAGGATGAAAGAAAGAGTACCTGAAAGAGGATGGCAAACCACCAAATATGCTTCACAGTTTTGTCTTGGATCAAAAACAACAATAACAACAAAAAACTTCTTGAAAACCAAAGGGCAAGTTAATATGTCCATGCTATCTTCAACTTGACTAAGATGCTGGTTGATTTTTAAATACGTTTGCAGAAAAGCTAAGAGAAAACTGGCTTAAATTAAAGCAGTGGACAGCACCAATAATATAACATAGACATCCTTAATTCATGACCTTCAGGGTGATAAACCCTACAATAGTCTCAGATGCTGTGATAACATATCCTTGATAATTCAAGAAGAAACAAACAATATTTATCTTCAATGGTTTCTTCAATTCTGCCTGTTGAAAGAAGTCATCCTAGCTGACTGGAAAAACTCCTGCCATTTACCAGACCTTCATTTGATACCTTCCTTAATAAGAAGCTATAAAAAAGCACCAGCATCAAAGCATCGTAGGTGAGGTGATGAATGAGAAGGCAAGATGGCTTAATAGAAAAGTGGTTAACAAAGTATGAGCTCTGTGAGGGCAAGGTATTTATCATTACAGCTGTATCCCTGGAATCAAGTCTAAAACATAATAGGCGCTCATTAAATATTGGTTGAATGAATGGACAAATGAACACGCAAATAAATGAAATCTGAATTTGCAATCAAGACTGCTCACATTCAAATTCTGGCAAAACCTCTTACTGGCTAAGTGTCATAGGGCAAAGAACTATTTTGGGTCTCAGTTTTCTCATCCCTTAAATGGATATAATGAAAGTACAAATCTCAGGAGTTTTTAAGAAGATTATAGGAGCTAATACAAGTAATGCACTTAGTACATAGTAAGCACACAAATGCTTGCTGAATTGATTTTAAGAATTTCATACCCATAACCTTCCCTGCTATTGGGACAAAACAGCGATAAAAACAGGATATAATTTAAGGCCCGATGGCCAACAAATACTTAGACAAATGCCTTAGTACAATTTATTTTCGATTAAGAAGTACATGGAGGCAGTATTTGGTCACCTAACTTTCCTGCCAGGTTCCCTTCCTCCCTCTACAAGAATTTCACAATAAGTTTTATCTTGAAGTGCTAACTGAGTAAAATATGAAAAGCATGGCTTAAATTACTCATCTCAAGTTGAAACCAGGAAATAGCATGTCCATGGGAGTCTAAGGAGTTATGAACACTCAGAACTCCAGCTGAGTGACCTGGGTATAGTCTTAGAAAGGCAGAACTTAAATGTGACATAGTTAGTAACCTAAAATGTAATCAATTCTATTCTACCCCGTCTGAAATAACTTTGTGTAAATAGAAAAGGAATGAAGAGTATGAAGCTCACAAAAGGGAAGTACAAAGCACAAGATGTGGACAATGTGTAGGCAACACTGCCTTGGACAGGAAGACACTGAACTTGACAAACTCAGAACTAGTCACCAGAGAAGTATGCTTGATCCTACCCAGGAGTGGGTCATGAGACCTGAGTTATCATCCTTCATCTTTGGCTCTGATTCCCAAAGTCACTGTATGAGTATTATTTTGTGTTCTCACAAATAATACCAAAATACCGGAAGCACATACCTGAGCTTCAAAGTTAACATTTTGTGACTATTCCACTTAAATTTTGAGATCTTCCTTTGTAATTTTAAGTGACTAACATCATGATATTGTGTTGTATTCTTCAGGAAAAGATGTATCATTTTAGAGCTGAGGATGTTAAGAAAATCTGATCAGCTTACTCTGGACCAAGTCCAGTGGTGAATCAGTCAGGGACAAGGCTGGACTTCTCCTGTTTCTGTAAAGCATATTTCCTTCAAATAAAAATGTTATGAATTAGCCAGTCACAAAAGGACAACTATTATATGACCCCATTTATATGAAGTACTTGGAGTAGTCAAATTCATAGAGACAGAAAGTAGAAGGGAAGTTCCAGGGACTGGGGCAGGGGGAACAGAGCGTTATTGTTTAATGAGTACAGAGTTTCAGTTTGGGAAGATGACAAAGTCCTGGAGAAGGACGGTGGTGATGGTTGTACAACAGTATATTCATATTATGAGCAATTTATTCATATTGTTGTACCAATATATTCATACTGTTGTACTTAATGCCACTAAACTGTCCACATAAAATGGTTAAATGATGAATTTTTTGTTCTGTGTATCTTGAAATAAAGTTATGGGGAAAAAAATCTTCTCTTTTAGAAAAAGTAAAAGAAAATCACCAACAAACAGTAAGACCCTTGGCAAGTCATTTCATGAGCTTTGACCTGCCGATCTTTAAAATCACTTTAGACTTGAAGTACATAATCTCTAACAGGCCTTGAAATTCTTCAATTACATAGTTGCACAATTATGAAATATAACCTAAAGTAGGGGGTCATCAAATTTTATCTGTAATGGGTTAGATGGTAAAAATTTTAGGCTTTGTGGGCCATAGTTCCAACTATTCAACTCTGCCCGTATCGGGCAAAAGCTACCAAAAACTATATAGAGATGTATGTAGCTGTGTTCCAAGAAACTTTATTTAAGAAACAGTGAACCAGATTTGGCCCTTGGGATAGTTTGCCAGTCCCTGACCTGGAGATGATCTCTGTGAACGTGCACAGACAATAGCAATTAGAAGCTTCCTGTGGCCCAGGGTCGATCACTTCTACAAGTGATTCCCATAGCTTAACCTCCAAAAGGTGGTGGTATCATCCTCCTCCTCCTCACCATCACCATCATCAAATGGCTCAGAGAATTAGAAACCAGCTTTGAGTCTTCATTGTGAAGGTCTGCCACAATCTTATCTTTCTCCTATGTCACAATGGAGAAAGTCTACCAACAAAGAGAAAGGGAGAATTAAACCAAAATATTCTCTCCTGTTTGCCAAGGAGTAGGCTTGGTCTCTCACCTCTGCCTTCAAGACACCAAAAAGTCTTAGTGGCATTTAAAGAGCAAGTGTTTTCCCGTTCTACCTGAGACTCTAGAATTCTGATCTAGAGAAAACCCAGGGCTTCAAGGGGTAAGCTATCTGCTCACTTAGAGAGAGTGCTGCAAGCTGGCCTTGGGAAGTCAGGCTGGAGGCATGTGTGTGTCCACTCCAGCCTCACTGCGGCCCACCTCAGCAGCCTGCTTCCTGGGCTGAGAAGAGGCCCTGAAGGACAGGGTGGTGAGAACTCGCCATCTCATCTCCTTTGAAGGATCGCAGCTGCAACAAGAGAGGACACACTTGAAATAAGAAAGCTGCAGCTATGAGAACTAGATGTGACCTGACAAACTAAGGAGACAAAAAGGATGCTTTTAATTCTCTGATGCTGAAAGGAATTTATGCAGCCCACAGGGACTGGCAATATTCTCCCCTTCTAGACTTTTGGATGACTGTTATATGCAAATCAAGAATAATCTGTGAAGAGGGTAAAAGAGTTTCCAAGTAAACTTTTGATACAAGTGACCAGACTGAGATCCAGTCATTACCTATAGTTTCCAAGTAAACTTTTGATACAAGTGACCAGACTGATACAAGTGACCAACCTATATTGTTGAGTTACAAATGAGGAGCCCTTGATATTCAGCATTTCAATTTACTAACTTAAGAACACTACAGAAAAACCCACAGGAGAGAGGTAATTACACGTATTAACTTATTTTTTTTTAAAGACAAGGTTTGTCAAGAATTGTTGTTCTTGACTTAAACAATTTATAATGATACTTCACTTCCTAAAAACTTTAGAAGGATGATGCTTATCACACATACTGACAAAGGAGTTAATTGGAAGTTGATGATTATAAATTAGTAGATCACCATTTCCTTTACAGTATTTCCTGAACTATTTATTCTTTAATCCTTTTTACCAATGAAGTCTAAAGTTTTAAGTGGGGTGCTCATTTCTACCAGAAAAGGAAATGATTTTTGTAATTAGAAACTGAACTTACAAGCAGAGGCATGAGTACCTGATTAAACACTGTATTTTATATAGTGTTAATAACTTATATTAACTATATAAGTTAATTCACTTTAGAAGTATCAAATAATAAACTAGTCATTAATAACATTGAGTATGTAGAAGACAGCTTTTAAAAGTTGACATTTATAATACCCATACTCAACAATGTGAATGTTTCACACATCTGTACTCTGCTTATTAACTTCATTGTTTCAATATGCCACATTAAATACACACATTTCACACACATGTTTATTACATGTTAAATATTGCACAGATTTATTCTACATGCCTGTTATGGGTTGAGTTGTGTCCCCCCCAAAAAAACATGTTGTTGAAGTCCTAACCCCTGGTACCTGTGATAGTGACCTTGTTTGGAGATAAGGTCTTTGACAGTATAATTAAGTTACAATGAGGTCAGACTAGCATAGTTGGGCTCTTCATCTAATAGGACTAGTGTCCTTGTAAAAACAGGAGAGAGACAGCCAGGGAGAATGCCATGGGAAGACACAGATGCACAGAGAGAAGATGCCATAGACGACACGGCAGGGATGGAGCATAGTGGCAGCAGAACTGCACCCTGGAGGGAGGGGGGAAAGTGCCCTTTACACTGCATGTAATTCTACATCATCTTTTGAATCAGTTCAGAGGAATCTGATATCCATGAATACTTACACTATCTGGCATAGAACTAATTTGTGCTATGTTTAGCTGAACAGTTACAGAGGTTACTGATACATATATGCATAAACACATAGTACATATATACATGTATGTCCACACATATGATAGTATATTTTCAAGACCACATGTACTAAGAACTAGAGAGATATGTATTTGGGGAGTGGGTTTGGTTAATCCTCACCCAAGGACATTTTTTCCATTGATTTTTAGAGAGAGGAAGAGAGGGAGGGAGGGAAATAAAAAGAGAGGGAGGGAGAGAGAGAGAAAAAAAAAACATCAATGTGAGAGAGATACATTGATTGGCTGCCTCCTGCACCCACCCTGACTGGAGCGGACATGGAACCAACAACCCAGGTCTGTGTAACCCAGGTATGTGCCCTTGACTGGGAATAGAACTCTAGACCCTTTGATGCACTGGCTGATGCTCTAATCTCTGAGCAACAGTGGCCAGCGCAGAGAGATGTGTTGTAACAGTACAGTCACACTCACTTTTCTGTTTACTAGTATAAGACACAATCATCAAGACTTAATTAACAATTGATGTCAGTATATGCTTGGCATTATCTTTGGAGCGCTATACCAGAACTATTAGCATTTATAAGTCCTGACCCTTGAAACCATTTGAATGGTACATATGAACACTTCATACCATATATGGAAACATCTATAATATTCAGACTCAAAATATAGACAAGCAGACCTTAGGAAGTAAAATTTACTGTGATAAACAAAAAATGTGTTCGGTAATGTTATCCATTGAAGATGCTGTATCTTCATGTATTATAATGCTTGTGCTATAAAAATTGTCATACAACTTCCACCATGAAGATAGGACTGAAGTGCAACTTATTCATATCTTTACAAAGACAAAAGCTTACTAAAAATTCAAACCTCCTACTGGATGAATAAGAGTTCCTTTCGGCTCAAAATCTCATAGTTAAAAAAAAAGCTTCAAGGAAAGGTCTGAAAAAAATTCCTGTTTTTATATGGAGAGCTGCCATCCATTTTCTTATCCACACAAAGTGTAAACACAACAGAATTAGCATGCACCTGTTATCTAAGCCAGGCACCACAATTCTTGCAGGGATAGTCATCATTATTTTCCATTTCCATCCATTCAGATTCAATTCTCTATCTCATCCCTGTCAGCACAGCAGTCTCTGGGTACAAAATATAAAATATTAACCAAGAAACAAAAAGGCAAGCAAACAAACTTCCAGTTACTTCTGGCCCAATAACTCACTTCCTCTCACTGACCAGCATGAGAGTTCTCTGTGGCTATTAAGAAACACTGCTAATTAGTTTGACCAAATCATTCCTGAATGACTGTCAAGCATGATCATTCTTAGAATCTGTGAAAAGGAGATGTGAAAACAGACCGGCTTCCCTCAACACATCGCCCTGCATCATTCCTGAATGACTGTCAAGCATGATCATTCTTAGAATCTGTGAAAAGATGTGAAAACAGACTGGCTTCCCTCAACACATCGCCCTGTCCACGTTCCTGTCCCTTCCTGTAGAGTCTGGGAATGGTGGTGACACCTCTAAATTCCTGTCTTCAACTCCATCCAGGTAAAAGGCATAGCCACAAAGCCCCCTGAAGATTCAGCCCACGAAGTTTTCAACAAATGGAAACCCACCCTCCATATCAAAGTCAGCTTCCTAAAGTCAGCCTCTACTTCCTCCCCTTGACGAGTAATGAGGATATAATGACCTCTAGCAAGTACCCAGCTCTGTGCTAAGAGGGTTATGTGATTCTTATTTCTTTTTTTCCCTACAGCAACCCTGTGAGACATAAAATCATTGTCCACTTTACGCACGAGGAAACCATGCCACAGAGAGCTTGTATGACAACCTAGATCACGCAGCTCACAACGAATGGAGGCAGGAGTGGAACCCAGCGAAGCGGCTCAAGGACAGTCCCTGTGCCGTCCCACCGCCTTCCAGATCACTTTGATCTTCGGCAGCGTGAATGCCTCTCAGGCCTGGCACCGGACAAGCTTTGCCACCTTATCTCCACTCTTTCCAACTCAGAACCTCTGCTCCACAACTAGACCAGGCTCCTCACTGTCCCGCACACTCAAGGTGAACACCAACCTCTAGCCTCTGCTTATACTGCTTCTCAAGGAGTGGAATGCCCTCCCTCCTCCTTCTCCTCCTCCTCATCATTAACATCCATTATTATACAATTCTACATCTTCCCAACCTGTTCCTCCTTCCAGCCTTTTCCCCTCATTTGAGTCTCTCCTGCTGGAGGTCAGTGCATCTGCTGTTTAACCAGCGTAGTGTCAGTATTGGTGTTTCATGTTCTCTATCAGTGCAGGTGGCAAACGACCTGAAGGCAGGGACAGAGAGGGCTCAGCACAGGTCAGTAACTGCTGCCTGAATTTATAATATCCCCTATGGCCACACGGTAAGTAAAATTAATGCAGCATACCGTCCTGGAGTGACCCTCTAAGACAGTGGTTCTCAACCTTCCTAATGCCGCGACCCTTTAATACAGTTCCTCATGTTGTGGTGACCCCCAACCATAAAATTATTTTCGTTGCTACTTCATAACTGTAATTTTACTACTGTTATGAATTGGAATGTAAATATCTGATATGCAGGATGTATTTTCATTGTTACAAATTGAACATAATTAAAGCATAGTGATTAATCACAAAAACAATATGTAATTATATATGTGTTTTCCGATGGTCTTAGGCGACCCCTGTGAAAGGGTCGTTCGACCCCCAAAGGGGTCACGACCCACAGGTTGAGAATCTCTGGATGGTCTTAGGCAACCCCTGTGAAAGGGTCGTTCGACTCCCAAAGGGGTCGCGACCCACAGGTTGAGAACCGCTGCTCTAAGACATCATCTCGAGACTCTTTGGGTAAAATTAACGGTGCACATAACTTCCAGAGTACTCCGCAACCTCCCACCCAATCCCCTCAGTTAATCATGTCAACTAAGTAGGCACTTCTGTGTTTGGATATAGCCAGTCAGCCTATGCACATGTGTTCAAATACAGCCCTGGAAACGTAATGTGGAGTCAAAATGTTGTTTTGAAAAAGCTAGCAAGATGGGAAATGAAAATAAAATGTGCCCAGTTGCCATTCCTTTTTGCTTTGGATCGTTTATTTAGCAAACACTTCCTAGTACCTACATGTTAAACATTGTGTGGGGCACTGTGAAGGATGCCACCATAGTCCTCTGGAGTTGTGTGTGCGTGTATGCATGTGTGTGCATATGTGTGTGAGCCTGTGTGTGTGTACCTGTATGTGAAGCAGCTCACCTGTCTGAGAATTTTTCAATGTCAGCTGTATGCATGTGTGTGCATGTGTATGCATGTGTGTGCACATGTGTGTGAGCCTGTGTGTGTGTACCTGTGTGTGAAGGAGCTCACCTGTCTGAGAATTTTTCAATGTCAGAGTGATATTCTTGTACATCTGAAACAGAGAAGAGAGGAAACTTGCTCTCTTACTACTATGGCCAGATTTTACACACAGTTTTGAGAGGGTATAAAGATACATAGAGATCTGGGTCTAAATCTGAAACATTTCTGATTTTCAGTGACTTTTTTTAAGGAGAGAACAAACAGCAGAAAGCAGGTGTGGTCTAATTGGTACCAGGTGTCTAGCACTCAAGGCACTGAGACAGCCTTTCTGTTTCCACAGGGGCTTGGCCCCCCGCCATGGCCACACTCCTGAGTACCTAACAGTGGCCTGCACAGACCACCGGTTCTGCCGGCCCCGTGCTTCTATAGCAACCATGAAACCTCTGTGGGGCAATCAGCTCTTACTAGGCCAAGCCCATTACTGCAATTTGATATTAGAAATCTTCAGGTGGCATCTTCTAACAAAGAAAACAGAAGGCATCTCCTTGTTTATGTATCTAACTAGGAGATTTCTGGGTTAGGTTTGAGAAGTAAGGCTTTCATAGTGCGGCTATTTGAAACACCCTCTGTAACACACATTCCTCGGAGAGGGAGAATAAAACCCCTCCTAACTCCACTAGGCATGTGCTGTGATCAAGAAAGGGATCACAAGAGCTACGCACTTCCTGGTAGAGAAGGGCTGTGGTGGCAGGTAGAGTCTTTGAAGAAAGGGGAAGCGTGCCCTGCGTCCCTCAGCAGGGAGGTGGGGCCAGCCTTCTGGAAGGAAGGGCAGCTGAGAAAGCACTGGGACACGGAAAGCTGTGAATCATTCATTCATAAGTCAGAAACTGCCCACGCTTTACTCAAGTTTAATACTATTATCAGCTATCTATCTTGACGCTAGAAACAGCAAAACATACAAATGGTAGAGATTAAAACAAACAAACACAAACAGAACATTCATTTTGGAAATCCTCCAGATGCAGTTAGATGAGTTGGTGTGTGCACCATTGGTTGGTTCCACATGCCTTCATTCTCCAGTGCTCATGAGTAGCTGCTAAACTAGGATGATTACATAATTTTATCTCAACAAGTGTCTCAGTCAGTTCAGGGCTGCTATAACAAAATGTCATAAACTGGGGGAGGGGGACTTATAAACAATAGAAATGGATTTCTCACAGTTCTGGAGGCTAGAAGTCCTATTTCAGGGTGCCAGCATAGTTCGGTGGTCGTGAGAACCCTCTTCCAAACTGCAGATAGCAGACTATTGTAACCTCATGTGGCCAAGAGCAGAGTAGATGTAGCAAAGTCTTTGGTCCCTTCAAGAGGACTCCACCCTCATGACTATCTACTCCTAATGACCTCCTAAAGGCCCATTTCCTAAGGACAGCATACAAAGTAGTAAGTAGGATTTCAACATATGAATTTGGGAGGGACACAAACATTCAGTCCATAACATCAGGTATCCTCTGATTTCTTTTCTTTTTTAAAAATATATTTTTAGTGCTTTCAGAGAGGAGGGGAGAGGGAGAGAGAAAAAGAAACACCAATGATGAGAGAATCATTGATTTGCTGCCTCCTGCACGCCCCTGACTGGGATCAAGCTCGCAACCCAGGCATGTGCCCTGACCAGGAATCGAACCGTGACCTGCTGGTTCATAGGTCGATGCTCAACCACTGAGCCATGCCAGCTGGGTGGGTATCCTCTGATTTCTAATGTGTCCTCTAAGACCTCCACAGAAGGATTCCCTTGATTGTAAAGTTTTCTTCTATAAGGAAGACCCCATCCATTTTTAATAGAATGAAGTAAGGGAACATGTAAAAGTCAGATGACAGATGGGTAAGGGAAATTATGTAAGGAAATAAAAAGGATTACTGATGAAAATGCAAAACACCACGTACATTTGGAATTTTTATGAATGTAGTGGTCGCAAACTGCAGATGCCGGCATGCCAGCAACAATCTGTCTAGAAATGGCTTTGAAAGGGAAAGAGAAAATTATTTGCCCAAGAGCAACTGAAATCTGCCAATGACAGAAAGCTCGTAATTCCCACTGAGCAAAAACATTGAACATTTATTTTTTGATGAATAGAGCTCAAATTGTCTGCCTCCCCCCGCCCCCCCATCCCCGTTCTCTCCCCTCCTGCCTACCAGAGCTCATACACTTCAAAAGATGAGTCTCTTCTATGTAAATGAGGCAAAATTTTCATCCTAATAAAGGAAAAGCAAGACATGTTTTAAGTCTTCCAGATCAGCCTGCAGACTCTACACCTTTGCTACTTCAGCTGCAGTCCACAGGCCATCAGCATCAGCACCACCAGGGAGCTTGATAGGATGCAGAAACTGGGGCCCAAGGTGATTTGTACACAATTAAAATTTCAGAAGCACTGTGAATGTACTAAAAATATGCCTCACTCCTGGGATTAGATATTTCTCTCCCCAGATGCTAGGGATCAGTTATGTTAGATCGGCCCATCTGACAATCTGAGTATCAAAATGAATGATAGTAAGGGATTATAACACACTGACTTTAAAGAAAAAAATCCATGAGTCATTATTTATAATAAGGAAATAAACAAATGGGTAAAGCGAAAGCTCTTCTTTATAAGAGAACGCCAACTTATAAATATATAAAGAATGAAAGTTAGAAAATCACCATTGTGCAACCACCATCGTTATAATGGATTCAGGCAAGAATTTCCAGAGATCCTAAAACCATCAGGTGAAAGTTTGTTGGGGAGTAGGACAATTACATAGTTTTGTAGCTGTCCTACTATCTTTCAACAGACTATTTCTAAATTACAAAGGGAAAAGGGGACTTTTCCAGTGAAGAAACCTGTTGGATGCTACCTAAACCAAGTGACCAAATTTAATGTCATTAGTGATGTGACCAGACATCATGCACCTGCTGAGGTGATGCACTTAGGGGGTTGGGATATCACCTA